TTACCCAAAATGTCATGTTGTTCAGGTGTGAATATTGTTTGACAGAAGAGCACCATCAGGAGAGAAATGCTGTTTTCATAGATTTTAAAAGCCACAACAACAACAAAGAGATAGGGGTGTGTGCTGGTTAGTGGATATAGTAGGCAGATTTGAACCTAGGGTTCAGAGGAAATGTTTAATGCCCTCTAACCCAGAGCCACTGAGCCCCTCCATCTTGCTGTAGCTGCAGTATTCACTTGTAGCACGGTGTGCTGTCTCACCAGGCAGGGCAGCCATTCACGGAAGTCCATGCTTGGATGGGAGTGGTGTAGTTAACATTTGGGTGTTTAGACTGATTGAGATACTCAGCACCTGCAGCGGCTGAGCAAACGCCTTTCTTTGGGAAAGGCCTGATTGATGAGGAGCATAGACTGACCCTACACGAACAGTGGTGTGTGTGTGTGTTTGTGTGTGTGTGTGAGACAGAGAGACAGAGAGTATGTGCGTGTGTCTGTGTATGTGTGTGTGCATGTGTGTGTGTATGTCTCTGTGTGTATGTCTGTGTGTGCATGTGTGTATACATGCTTGTGAATATTCATGCTTGTATGTGTGGTGGCCAGAGGACAAGTTTGGGTGTTCTTCGGGTGCTCACACTCCCAGGTAAACTAGCCTGGCTGGCCCTTGAACCCCAGGGATCCATCCCCAAGTCTCCACCTCCCTAGCACGGGATTACAGGGGCATGTGTACTGCTCAGCTTCTCACAGATCTGCCTGCCTCTGCCTCCTGTTAAAGTTTAGTGATTGAGTCATCACCTGAGAGATTCTGTTTTCATTTACTCGGTTGCTTTGCCTTGCTAGAATCTTCGCAGGAAACCCTGTAGTCTTCGGGCTAGTCCCTGTGCCCGTAGGTGCTTCTGTGTGTTAAAATCACCTGTCTGTGACTTGGCAGAATCCTGGTGTACCAGCAACTTGCAGCCTGGTGGCTCTGATCAGAGGATCCACATCTGCTTCCCAGCGTGGACCGCATCTGTTGCCGCCCCGAGAACAATGCCTGCAGGATGTTTTTCTTAAAAATCAATTTCCTCTTTGCCTGCCTTGCTCCCTGCAATCCAAAAAGCCTCCTCTTTATAAAAGACTACTGTGCTGCTTTCTCTTAGAGATCACAAGGAAGCCTGTTTTCCCGGGAGCTGCGGATCATAAATAACCGTCACTCTCTCGATGCCATAGCTCCCTACCGCCTGGTTCCGTAGCCAGCACCTCTTTTCTGACTTTGGAACCCATTGGTCTCTGTCATAGTAAGATGACAAAGTCAAGCCATCACCGTGTGATTGAGCTGGGAAAAGCACTTGATGTGAGACAGACAGAACTCTGCAGTGCTGTGTTCTCCTGAGACTGAGCTAAAGGGAGTCTGAATGAATACAGGAGGGAGTGCACCCTGAACCCTAACATAACATTCCCAAGACCCCTCTCTCTCATGTGGGAGTATTCCATGCCTTCAGCTAAAGGAGCACCTGTCTACATGCACATCCCAGCTCTGGGACCCAGCCAGGTGGGATGCACTTAACTGGAATGCTGAAGTCTCAGGACACTTCATTTTTTCTTAATCTGGTGAGCAGTGCTAGTCAATGGTTTGAATATATGTTTTTAACTGATTCACACACTGTTTATTACAGCTTAGACATTTTAAACTCAGGCTTTCCTTCTCTTCCACAGCACTTGCTGTAACTATTGTACGGTGCTTATCACAGTCCAAGTTTAGAAATTTCTCGTTACCCGCCCCCCCCCCCAGCAACCCTGTGTGCACTGACAGTCACAGCCCACTCAATACCTTCTCCATCCATAGTCCCAGAAGCCCTGGCCCTGCTCTCTGTCCCTGTGGATTTTCCTTATGGGCATTCTATAAATTAAAAAAACAAAACAAAACTGGGCTCTGTGTTGGGCTTCATTTAGTAGAATATTTCAAGGTTAATGCACAGCGTAGTGTATAGTGGGTACCCTCATTCTTTTTTCCTTTCTTTCTTTCTGATAAATGCTATTCAGTCACATGTGTATACTTCATTTTCTTTATCCACCTATGAATGAATGGGCTTTAGAGTTGTTTCTCCATTTTTGCTTATTGGAGATAATTCTGCCTTGAACATGTAGACATTTAGCCAAGGCAAAGTAAACATGAAATGTAGTGGTGTTCATATTGTAGAGGAGACTAAACTGTCTGTTTCTGTATGGTGCAGTCTTATATATAGGAAGTCCTCATGGATCCTTAAAAACCTAATAGCCAGAGTATGTACAGCAAAATCTTTCATAAAAATGAATTGTATTTTTATATACTAGCAATAAACTACCCCAAGGTTGAATTAATTAGAAGGCAAACTTCATTTAGAATAACATCAAAATTAAAATACTTCTTAGTATATGCCAACCAAATTCATCAAAATAATGTAGAGATTCCAAATTCATATTTTTCAGCGCTTGGACAGTTGGTCTTAAATCCATATGGCTATATTGGGAGGGACCAGTAGAGGAAAGTAGTCTTCAAGAAGAAAGTTAGGACTAGCATTTCCTCATTTCAGAAATGACTACAGGACTAATGTCAACAGGACCGTGTGGCAGAGCAGAGGGCAGACACAGAGGGTTAGGCTATGCGTGGACTCAAGCGCCTTTCGATGAGGCTACCCAGACAGTGCTCTGGCGCCTTTCAATGAGGCTACCCAGACAGTGCTCTGGGAAAGAAACAGGCATCCCCACACTGGTACTGCTACAGGGATGTGTATTTGCAAAGATGAAGGCGAACTCTACCTGGGGCGGGGGGGGGGGGGGATTCTGAACCTAAATACAAGCACTAAAATTGTAGTCTTTGGTTGTTCAGTCTTAAGAATTTGCTCTGACTTCTTCATGACATCTTGCCTCCAAATAAACAACTGAATGAAAGGCTCCTAATAATCCGCACCCTGAGATGGGTGTGGTGACACATACCTACTCCAGAGGCTCAGGCTGGGCCACATAATGGAAGGAAAGAGCTCTGAATACAGAGCTTCATAATATCTCTATAACTAGAAGGGGATGACAGTTGTAACGGGGGTTTCAGTTACCTTTTACATCAGTTTAACTAAATGTACTGTGCAACAGTGTTGTAAAGAGTTCGGTTTTCCTGCCCGCCGCCTAGTCTGGTCCCGCCGCCACACCAGCCCCAGTTAATACACAGAGACTCTGTATTTGATATAATGCTGTTGGCCAGGTACTAGTTTTTTATCGGCTAGCTCTGTCTTAAGTATTAACCCATTTCTATGTATTTCCATGTGGTCTTCTTACCAGGGAAAGGGGCCAGCTTCTCGTCTCCCCAGTCTCTCCATCTTGACCCTTTCTTCCTACTTCCTCCTTGTCTCCTATCTTCCTTTCCTATTGGCCAACAGTGCTTTATTCATTAACCAGTATGAGAAACATATAAACATAATGGCATCTCCCATCATCTCCTCTTTTCTGTCTAAATAAAAAGAAGGGTTTAACCTTAACATAGCAAAATATATAACGCAAAGGTTTTCAAATAAGAATCATAGTTAACAATATTTAGTCCATTAACATTTAGCAAGATTTAAGAAAATATTCCATCATTTATCCTATCTTTGTATGTCTAAAGTCTATGTAACATCTGTAATCCTAACTAAAAAAAACTATAACCATAACTATCTGTCTTCAACTCCTTCAAAGACCGCAGAAGGATAGTATATAAACTCTAGAAATGACAGAGACAACTCACTGCCTGGCAAGTCAGTATTTAGTGTATTTAGTATTTTAGTGTTCTCTGTGTTCCCTTTATTCACAGTCTGTGCACGTGTGGAATTGTTCTTAATTTCTGCAAAGATTTGCTAAGAAGCAAAATACAGTAGATAGCATTGTTAAACTTGGGAAACTTAGACTGTAAACATATCACAGACTTAAAAGGATGACTAAAGTGATATATTAAAATAGGAGCCACATTCAAACCCTAAATTTACTATCTAGAAATAGTCTGAATGGAATGATTGTAATGATATGTCTTTGTGTAATGATATGACTGTGGACCTGTTGAATTTGAAATACTAGGTTTTTCTTTGCCCGTAATCTGGGGGGGGGGGGGGCGGATACACCATCAAGTGAATTCAAATGCATACAGTGTAATATATGCCTTCTCCTATGCATCTTTAATTCCTAGGTTTCTAGGTTTTTCTTTTATCAGTTTCATTTTGTTTGCTTGTCTTCGGTTTTATTGTTTGTTTGTTTGGGTTTTGAGATAGAGTCTTACTACACATCCCTGACTGACTTGGAACTTTGTAACCGGGCTGGCCTGGAACTCAGAGATCTACCTGCCTCTACAGCTTGGGTACTGGGATTAAAGACTTGGCCACATCACATCTTGCTAGTTTCCAGTTTTAATTAAGCTGTTTTCTTTATTCTTTTTATCAGGAGCTATTTTCATTCCAGATTAAGAGCTGGGCCTGGGGATGAAGTGAGATAATGCAAGGTTCCAAGCTGGGAGTATAACTAAGTGACACATGCTTCCTGACATGCCCAAGCCAGAGGTTTGATCGCAGCGCGGGGGCAGGGTACCTAGCTGGGGACGGTGGCACACACCTGGAATGGCAGCATTCCAAAGGCTGAGGCAGAGTCAAGAGTTGGAGACTAGGCCTGGTTTGTGTAGTCTTCTTACCGATACTAAGCCCTGCTAGGTAGTGTCATTCTCTAGCTCAGTGCAGAGGCTGAGTCAATGGTGACTTAGCTTCCTAGTGTACGCCTTCCTCAGAACAGCAGAAATTGCTCTTGTGCTGGTTAACAGATCTGAACCAAATGCGGAGACAGCTCTTTTTTTCCTAGCGTCCCTTCCATTGTTAATGTGACATGTTTGGTGAAAATTCTGCAGGCACATTGCCTCTCTGACAGGTGTCCCAGGGTGTAGTCAACCGTGTGGCCAGCACCCCGGGCCCTTATGGGGCAGCAGGGCCATCCCTGCTCTTCCTGTGTTCACCGCTGCTGGTCTCCCCATCACAGGAACGCTCACTCAGAACGAGATGGTGTTTAAGCGTCTCCATCTGGGCACTGTCTCCTACGGAACAGACACTATGGACGAGATCCAAAGCCATGTCTTCAATTCCTACCTGCAGGTAAGCGAACGCCATCTTCTCTTAGTGCACCAACACCAGGGAGCCAAATTGACCTATTGTATGCTAATTTGATTTTTCTTTACTCTTTATTGTTACCTAGCTATCATTTCTAGTATCCCAGTCAAGAAATTGTGACTAGCGTTTCTGTATTAACAGAATCATAGGAAATGCAGTGAGCTTGAATCATTTATTTATGTTATATTCTTAATGGATTTTTCTTTTCCTTTTCTTGTGGGAGGTTGGTTTTTCAAGACAGGGTTTCTCTGTGTAACAGCTCTGGCTGTTCTGAAACTCACTCTGTAGACCAAGCTGGCTTTGAACTCACAGAGATCCAACATGTTCTGCCTCACAAGTGCTGGGATTAAAGGTGTGTACCACCATCACCTGACTAGTTAATTATTTCTAAAAAGAAACTCTTTAATAAACAGTATTTTAAAGAGTAATTAATAGAATACTGATATTGCTATGTTTTCTAATAATCCCTTTGTTTTTCTTCATAATTAATAAAATGTTCTGTGGTTTTGAGAAAATAAATTCTGTTTTTCGTCTTTTTTAATAACTAAGGTAGATAACTCCACTGAACCCTTACTACACGAGGGTTTGCTGTGTTGGCAGGCACTCTCTCTCAACATGTGACATCAGCTAGGGACCAGCCGTGTGTTTTACATACAGCAGTTTGCTTCAAACATGATATTGCAGACTAAATTGGACTTTTTCTCCTTAGAATTCAGTTGTCAACAGTGTATTCAAATTTTTGGAAAGGTCCTTGTTCTGTAATTAACCACCAGCCTAACCTATACTGTGTTCTTGAGATGTTGCCAAACATCAAAAAATTCTTACTTGCATAGAATGCATTTATTTTATATGATCTGTCTGCGCAAATGCCAGAGTATCATATAGGTGTGAATGTGATTTGTCTAAATATAATTTATATGTGTACTGTGTTTAAGAGTATTTTGTAATTCAGACTATTTTATTATTTTGAAATGTTTTTGTGAAAAGTTCACTTTAAAATTTTTTAAAATACAGTTTTAAAAATTAATTATTGGTTTTAATTTTATCATTTCTATTCCTCCCCCAAGCCTTCCTATCCCCCTCTTGCTCTCAAATTCATGGCCTTTCCATTAATTGTTGTTATATGTACGTGTGTGTGTGTGTGTGTGTGTGTGCGTGCGCGCACGCATGCGTGTGTGTCTCTAGTGTCTGTGTGTGTGTCTCTGGTGTGTATGTGTGTGTGTGTCTGGTGTCTCTCTCTCTCTCTCTCTGTGTGTGTGTGTGTGTGTGTGTGTGTGTGTGTGTGTGTGTGTGTGTGTGTGTGCCTAAATACGTAAACGTATCCTCTAGGTCTGTGTGGTGTTACTTGCGTATGTATGTGCATGGATGTTTTCAGGGCTGACTGTTTGGCATTAGATAACCTCTTGGTGTACTCTTGTGTGGGGACGACTGTTTCTCCTGCTCAACATGCCTGGTCTTTCCCCCGCCCACTTTGACATGTCTGTTACTGTTGTCCTTCTTCTGCTGATTATGTACGCAGTCATGTTTGGTGAGCCTTTTTGGATGTAGCTTCTGATATTCCTAGGAGGAACCATCTCACAGCAAATTCCCTCATCCTCTGGCTCTTACAGTCTGTGCTCACCTCTTCCAGAGCGCTCCCTGGGCCTTAGGTGTGTAAGTAGTTTTTTGATGTATCCCTTTGACCGGGCTCACAACTCTGCATTATGATTGGCTGTAATGGTCTCCCTCCTTTGAAAAGAGCAGTGTCCTTCATGACTGCTCTTATCTGTGGGTCCAAAGATGTTAGAAAGCAATTAGGAATTACGCTGGTTTAGTGAAGTGGTATGCTGGCTAATCTTACGTCAACTGGACACACAAGCTAACATCTGAAAGGGTGGCCCATCAATTGAGAAAATGCATCCATGAGATCCACCTGTAAGGCATTTTCTTAATTAGTGACTGATTGTGGGTGTGGCCACCCCTGGACTGCTGGTCCTGGGTTCTGTTAGAACACAGGCTGAGCTAGCCATGGGAAGCAAGCAAGTAAGCAGCTCCCTCTTCTCCTGCGTCCAGAACCCTGCACTGTTGGAGCTCCTATCCTGATTCCCTTTGACATGAACACTGCTTTGGAAGTATAAGATGAATAAACCCTTTCTTCCCCAACTTGCTTTTTGGTCATGGTGTTTTGTCACAGCAATAGAAAATATTCATTTGTTTTAGATTTTTTTCAACTTAATGGAGTACAGGTTTTTAAAGTATTCCATCACAATTTTCTGAATTCCACTGACGTCCGTTGTAGTGTTTCTCTGTTCGTTATTCCTGATTATTCCTGATTAGCAGTACTGTGGGTTCCCTGTTTTCTCCCATTGGTTGGCCAGGCCCAAAGTCCGTCTCCCTATGGTCTCAAGGGAGCAGCTTTTAGGTTTGCTGAGCCCGTGTCGTTTTCTTTGTCCCTGTCCCTTTTATTTCTGCACTGAGTTTTGTTACTTCTTGCTTCCACTGCGTTTGGATTGGTTTCTTCTTTTTTTTCCAACTTTTTGAGTTGTATCATCCAGTCATCTATTTGTACTCTTTCTGATTTTTTTTTTTTTTTTAATGTAGGCACTTAGAGCTATAAATTTCCCTCATAGGACTTCGCTTCAATGTGTCCTAAGGGGGGGTTGTTGCTTGTGTTTTTTTCATTTAGTTGCAGTACATTTTTTGAAATTTATGTCTTGATTTTTTTCTTTGCTCCATTAATAATTCAGTAATAAGCTTTATTTTTTTTAAATTTCCCTGAGCTTATGTATTTACTAGAGATGTGTTTTCTGTCAGTTGCAAGTTTTCGCACAGTGATCAAAGAGGATATGTGATATTATTTCCATTTTTGAATTTGTAAAGATTTGTTTTATGTCCCAAGATATGGTCTGTTTTAGAGAAGCTCCTATATGCTGCTGATAGAATGTATATTCTTTTTGTTTGGGTGGACTGTTCTGTAGGTGGCTATTTAGTCCATTTTGATATATTATGTCACTTAATTCTGATTTATATGTACATATTCATATATGTACACATACATACACTACATATGGAAAGTATTTTATATTCTATATATTTTATTTTAATATTTTGTGAAAGATTTTATTTTATTATTTTAAATTTTAAAAACACATTTTACTTAAAACATAATTATATTACTTTCCCCTTTCCAAGGTTCACCTACACACACACTCTTAGTTTTTCTTTGATTATTATTTTTACATATACACGGGGTTGTGAATGTGTGTGTGTGCATAAATATAATCTGCTGGTTCCATTTTGTTTATGTGTATGTAGGTTCAAGGCTAACCTTTGTATTGGGTAAACACATTGTTATTTCAAGTAGTTCTTTGTCTAGGTGTGGGACCCTCCCCCTCCTTCTTAGCATGTCTGTTGATATTACCACTGTCTGTGTCTCACAGCAGACTTGTTTTCTGCCTCACGCGGTCCTTGAACTCCCATATGTGATGTTCCTTGAGCCAGAGATGTAGCCACTGATCACTGATTGTGTCCAGCTGTGGTTTCCTGTCCATTTCTACTTGTTCTAGAGAGAAGTTTCTTTGGTGAAGGGTAGCTACGCTGATCTATGGGTGCAAGGCTACGATCGAATGTAGTTAGAGAATTACACTAGTCTAGCAAACTGGCGGAAGTAGATTTCTCTTTTAGGATCCATAACCTCACAGCCCCAGGTAGTTGGCTAGGGTTCAAGTACCAGGCATGGGCTCCCTCCTGTTGAGTGAGCCTTAAGTTCAGTTAGACAATGGTTAGTTACCACCACCATGTGAATGCCATATCTGTTGCCCCTTTACAGATGTCTTTTCATACTGTCATTATTGTGGGTCATAGTTGTCACAGCTCTTTCCCTCCCTTGGCAGCTTACAAAGGACTTTCTGGTACTATAGAAACTAGACTGTAGGAAGGAAGCTTTCAGATTAAATCCAGCTAAAAAAAAAAAAAAAAAAATACAAGTCTTTTGTCCTAAGTATGCAGTCCTCAGCAACAGGGGCCCGCCTTCAACCTCAGAGGGCCCAGCAATAGTGTATATTCTTAAGGAGCCATTTGGACTACCCTGTATCCGTGGGCATGTGTGCATGCGTGTGCGTGCATGCGTGCGTGTGTGCGTGCGTGTGTGTGCGTGCGCGCGCGTGCGTGCGTGCGTGCGTGTGTGTGTGCATGCGTGCGTGCGTGTGTGTGCGTGCATGCGTGCATGCGTGTGCGTGCGTGCGTGCGTGCGTGTGTGTGTGCGCGTGTGCGTGCGTGTGCGTGCGTGTGTGCATGCGTGTGCGTGCGTGTGCGTGCATGCGTGCGTGTGTGTGTGCGTGTGCGTGCGTGTGCGTGCGTGCGTGTGTGTGTGCGTGCGTGCGTGTGTGTGTGTGTGCGTGCGTGCGTGCATGTGTGTGTGCGCGCGCGTGCGTGCGTGCGTGTGTGTGCGTGCGTGCGTGCGTGCGTGTGTGTGTGCGCGCGCGTGCGTGTCTTTGGCAAATGCTCATACTGCTGAGCTTAACAAAAATCTAAAGGAGAGAAGAGCTCAAGCTTCCTTTTTCCTAGCAATCTTTGTCCAGAGTGAAGTGTTTACCAAGTAACCACTGCCTGATAAAATATTCATTTTTCTGGGTGTTGTGGTAGACACCTGTAATCCCAGCACTCAAGAGACTGAAGCAAGAGGGTTGAAAGTTCTAGTCCAGTCTAGGATGCATAGGAGACCCCAAAAATAGTAAAGTTAACTTATGGTATCCATTAATGTGACTATTATAGAGCATATGTGGTTTATAATAATTATCTTAATGAAGAATCATTGTATAGCAGATATTTAAAGTTCGCTTATTTTATCTAAGAGCATTTGAGGATCTTTGACTAAAGGTCATGGGCTCTGCCAGTGTGACTGTGTTTGTGGGACTCGCTAGTCCCCGTTTGCTGTGTCTCTGGCCCACTCTGATGTAGCACAGGTCTTTCTTAACCTGATTGTCTTCACCCACTGGAAGCACTAGGGATTTAAGAGCTTACTCTGTAATGGAATTCGTGTGAAATTAAATTGCCTAGGCATCTATGAGCATTGCATAATTCAGAAGAGGGACTGAACTCCTTTGCTGCTGGAGCAGCTCAGTGTAAGGTGATGCAGACAGAGGGTGACGATGCTGTGGGCAGCACAGCTGAGCACTGAGCACATACCTGTGCAGGGGTACACACACACTGAGCACATACCTGTGCAGGGGTACACACGCACTGAGCACATACCTGTGCAGGGGTACACACGCACTGAGCACATACCTGTGCAGGGTACACACGCACTGAGCACATACCTGTGCAGGGTTACACACACGCACTGAGCACATACCTGTGCAGGGTTACACACACGCACTGAGCACTGAGCACGTACCTGTGCAGGGGTACACACGCACTGAGCACATACCTGTGCAGGGTTACACACACGCACTGAGCACATACCTGTGCAGGGGTGCACACACACGCACTGAGCACATACCTGTGCAGGGGTTACACACACGCACTGAGCACATACCTGTGCAGGGGGCACTGAGCACATACCTGTGCAGGGGTACACACACGCACTGAGCACATACCTGTGCAGGGGTCACACACACACACGCACTGAGCACATACCTGTGCAGGGGTACACACACACACTGAGCACATACCTGTGCAGGGGTACACACACACACGCACTGAGCACATACCTGTGCAGGGGTACACACACACACTGAGCACATACCTGTGCAGGGGTACACACACGCACTGAGCACATACCTGTGCAGGGGCCACACACGCACTGAGCACATACCTGTGCAGGGGTTACACACGCACTGAGCACATACCTGTGCAGGGGTACACACACGCACTGAGCACATACCTGTGCAGGGGTACACACACGCACTGAGCACATACCTGTGCAGGGGTACACACACGCACTGAGCACATACCTGTGCAGGGGTACACACACGCACTGAGCACATACCTGTGCAGGGGTACACACACGCACTGAGCACATACCTGTGCAGGGGTCACACACGCACTGAGCACATACCTGTGCAGGGGTACAACACAAGCACAACCTGGCAGGGGACACACACGCACGACACATACCGTGCAGGGGTACACACACGCACTGAGCACATACCTGTGCAGGGGTACACACGCACTGAGCACATACCTGTGCAGGGGTACACACACGCACTGAGCACATACCTGTGCAGGGGTACACACACGCACTGAGCACATACCTGTGCAGGGGTACACACACGCACTGAGCACATACCTGTGCAGGGGTACACACGCACTGAGCACATACCTGTGCAGGGGTACACACACGCACTGAGCACATACCTGTGCAGGGTACACACACGCACTGAGCACATACCTGTGCAGGGGTACACACACGCACTGAGCACATACCTGTGCAGGGGTCACACACACGCACTGAGCACATACCTGTGCAGGGGTTACACACACGCACTGAGCACATACCTGTGCAGGGTTACACACACGCACTGAGCACATACCTGTGCAGGGGTGCACACACGCACTGAGCACATACCTGTGCAGGGGTACACACACACACGCACTGAGCACATACCTGTGCAGGGGTACACACGCACTGAGCACATACCTGTGCAGGGGTTACACACACGCACTGAGCACATACCTGTGCAGGGTTACACACACGCACTGAGCACATACCTGTGCAGGGCAGGGCACACACGCACTGAGCACATACCTGTGGGGTACACACACCACAGCACTGGCACTGAGCACTGAGCACATACCTGTGCAGGGGTACACACACACGCACTGAGCACATACCTGTGCAGGGGTACACACACACACGCACTGAGCACATACCTGTGCAGGGGTACACACACACACGCACTGAGCACATACCTGTGCAGGGGTACACACGCACTGAGCACATACCTGTGCAGGGGTGCACACACACGCACTGAGCACATACCTGTGCAGGGTTACACACACGCACTGAGCACATACCTGTGCAGGGGTACACACGCACTGAGCACAACCTGCAGGTACACACGCATACCTGTGCAGGGCCTCACACACACACGCACTGAGCACATACCTGTGCAGGGGTACACACACGCACTGAGCACATACCTGTGCAGGGGTACACACGCACTGAGCACACCTGAGCACTGAGCACGCACTGAGCACATACCTGTGCAGGGGGTACACACACGCACTGAGCACATACCTGTGCAGGGGTACCACACACGCACTGAGCACATACCTGTGCAGGGGTACACACACGCACTGAGCACTGAGCACATACCTGTGCAGGGTTACACACACACGCACTGAGCACATACCTGTGCAGGGGTACACACGCACTGAGCACATACCTGTGCAGGGGTCACACACGCACTGAGCACATACCTGTGCAGGGGTACACACACACTGAGCACATACCTGTGCAGGGGTACACACACACGCACTGAGCACATACCTGTGCAGGGGTGCACACACGCACTGAGCACATACCTGTGCAGGGGGTACACACACGCACTGAGCACATACCTGTGCAGGGGTACACACACCACTGAGCACACGAGGGCCCCCTGAGCACGTACCTGTGCAGGGTTACACACCACGGCACTGAGCCAGACCTGTGCAGGGTTACACACACGCACTGAGCACGTACCTGTGCAGGGGTACACACACGCACGCACTGAGCACATACCTGTGCAGGGGTACACACACACGCACTGAGCACGTACCTGTGCAGGGGTACACACACGCACCTCCTCACGCCGCCTGCGCTCGGTGGGGAGAGGCTCATACTCAGTGCCTCGCAGGCTCTCTGACCCTCAGTCCCTTCTAAGCACTGTCCCGAATCTCTGAATTTGATAGGAGAATGTGGGTTGGGTCGTGTGCTCTGTCACCCACCCTGGTAAGGAGGTGAGTGACAGGTCACTGACTCATAACCAGAGCTGATGGGCCTTAGGGAGATCTGCAGTGCCCAGTGGGCAGTTGCTTCCCATGAACAGGACTGAGATGTCAGGCTTGTTTTCCTGGACACAGCCATTACTATATCTAATCTGTGTTAGCTACAAACTAGGCCACCAAAGTTCAGAGACGGGAGAGTCTTAAGAGTTCTGGCTGCTTTGCTGTGGTGTTGTTTTACGTGCATATGTGAGGTGACTATTCTGCCTTGATGTCTACTTGCTGTTGTAAGGAGTAAAGTAACTGTTGACTGAACTTAGGAATGGAAACGAGCCCGGCTTTAAGATCGTAGCAGATACTAAGGTGTGTTTGACAACCTTGAAATAGCCAAGCGTTTTGCATTGCTGAGACAAAAAGTGATTTATATTCATGGGTACAGTGTAAGAGAAAAATCAAATCTCTGTTCTTGTCTCAAGCAGCTTATTTTACCTCATAAAACATGCCAGTAATTTCTGTGCAGACCCTTCATTCTGTTTGTCCTCGTTAACTCCCAAGGTACACTCCCAAGCAAGTGGCCACAACCCAAGTTCTGCTGCACCGAGAAGAAGCCAGTCTTCAACCCCTAAAGTTAAAAAAAGCGTCAGCAGCAGAGTCCATGAAGCTGTGAAAGCCATCGCCCTTTGTCACAACGTCACTCCCGTGTACGAGGCTCGGGCAGGAGTCACTGGAGAGACTGAGTTTGCTGAAGCAGACCAAGACTTCAGTGATGAGAACCGCACGTACCAGGCGTCCAGCCCTGATGAGGTCAGTGGCTCCCTTAGAGCACCTTTTTTTTTGGGGGGGGGGGGTGTCCTTCTCCGGGCAAGCCTGTGTGGTCTGTTTCACCTGGACTCTGCAGGCTGCTTCTTGGGAGCAAGGATTCAGGACTGTGTCCTGGATTCTGACAAGGACCTATGCTGAAGTCCATGCAACCTCTGGACATAACTCGGGCCTTCCAGGCTCACCTTTGACCCTAAGGTGTCAATACCTAAAAGTTAATCCTCTCCATCCTTGACAGCCACAGACTTGACCTCTGAAATTCAGGCTGTTTCAAGCTGGATTTGCTGATGGTATTGAGGGGAGATTCTTAGAGATCCTGGACTTTTAGCTTTATACCATTACATTCAACAGTTTTCACTCGAAGTAGCATGGGAAGATTGAGCTGCCTCTATAACAAGTTAGTTCCCAACATAAGCTTATTACTGTTGCTGTACTTCCTTGGCCAGTTTTGCCTCAGTTGCAAAGTCACTGGATTTGTATATTAAATTTCCAGTCGTTCAGTAGAATTTAGATACAACTATTGTTTAGAAAGATTTAGACTATAAGTAATTGAGAAACCCACAGAAATGATTTTTAAAACATAAGTGTATTAACTTAGTCATTTCTAACCTTACTCCATCAAGATTTGGTAAAATCCATTATTTAAATTTCTACCTCTTAGGCAGTCATTCTGAGTGTGTTTATAGAGTCTGTCTTCTTGGAGTACTTTAGACAGTTGTGTAAAACAATCAAACCGACTATGGAGAGACAGTGTTAACAAAGTAGAACTTTCAAATACCTTGCACAATTGGATCATGTAAGTACATAATCAATATGTTTAGGGAATCTGCTAAACTCTGGCTCTGGAAACAATAGAAAGGCAGGCGTGGAACCCCAGTGTTGTTGATGAGCCAGGAACAGATCATGGAGAGTGGCGGTCAGCGCAGTCCTGCAGCTTCATCTCAGATCCCAGATGCCCTCTTTTATCTCTGTGCCCCACCCACATGTGCTCCATGCTCATAGGCGCCTAGTAACGGGGCCTGACTGCCTTGTGTGTCACCCCTGCCCTTGTTTGTCTACATGTTGTTATATTCCTCAGAGGATTTTTCAGTAGTCTTATTACTGTTATGATTCACCTGAGGTGCTTTATCCCTGAAGGCTGAACAAAGGCCGTTGTAGTTAACTCTGTGCCCCGTTAGTACTAATCTACTTCACTGGGCATCATTTGCTGTGTCCTAAGACAAGTCTGAGTTTACCTCTGGCTGTGCATGGCTGTCCAGTTGAGCCTTCTGTGTGAGCCTCTCTCCCCCCACAGAGCAGCGGTGTTCTAGTTTGAATGTGGCAAGTTTCACACAGTACTTGTATTGGACTCTTAGTCCGTAGCTGTTGATGACAGCTTGATATATCTGAAGAAAACGTAGGCCACTGAAGTGGGTTCTTCGGGATATCTTCTCCTTGTCCCTTTCTTGTCTGCCGTGAAGTAAAGCAGATCCTCCAGAACATGCTGCCCATGGACTGAACCCTCTGGCACCCTGAGCTGAAGTAACCCTGGAGTTGTTTCTGCCAGCATGTTGCACTGTTGGAAAGTAGTGTCGCAGAAGGCAGGGTCACAGCTATGACTGCCAGGCTGTGTGGTCCTCAACCCTTGGAGACTAGTGTAAGGAGGCATCTGGGCTAGGCTGGTCTACACAGTGAGTAGCTGTCATTTTCTTATTTATTGACGTGAGTTCATACCTAAGATTATCTTGAGTATCACTGGAGTTTCTGAAGTTGAACTTTTGAACGGTCTTGGAACTATGAAGATTTTGTGAACCCTTTGATATGGACTAAGTAGGCGTATGAAATGGCATGAGCTTAAGGATGTTATGGCTTGAATGTAAAATGTCCCCCACAGCCTGTTCCCAGCCCATGATGTGTTCTGGAAACTTTAGGGTATCTGGGTCTGTCTGTCCTGGTAGTCTCCCATCCCCCTCCCTGCCACACCCTGGAGTGAGATTACCACACTCTCCCACCGCCATGAAATCCAGGCCAAGCTCACACTCTCCCACCGCCATGAAATCCAGGCCAAGCTCAGGAGGTCAAACACCCAGGGGATAAACCTTGTGAAACTGTGAGACAGAGCAAGTCTTTGGTCTAAGTTGTTTCTGTTACATAGTTTGACCACAGATACACAAAAGTAGCTGACACAGTTGGACATGTCAAGGCTGGACTAGAGACAGTTACTGGATCAGGGGGAGGAAGGGAGGGAGAAGGCTTTGTGGGCTTGTAGGGACAACTGAGCTGAGCACCCTTAAAGATCCGGTAGGCTCTTATTCCTGTGAACTGGCAAGGCTGCTACATTTAGCATTCAAATATTTGCCTACTGAGACATAATAAAACTACAGCAAGAAATTTAAGATTCTTCCTGGAAGTCAACATCACATCTCTGATTCCGAAAACACTGAGGTAGCTGGGAGGGTGGTACACACCTTTAATCCAGCATCCACGAGACAGTGGCAGGGAGAGCCAGGAGTCTGAGGCTAGCCTGGTCTATATAGCAAGCTCCAGCCAGGGCTATGAAGTGAGGCCTTGCCTGCCCCCATTAAAAGTACTGACAGTAGTCTGAGAAAATCAGGATTAGTTGAACTGTTGGTGATATTCAAGGAGCTCCAGAATAGAATCCCATGTTGGTTTTAAAAAAGGGGGGGGGAGCTAGGGAAATGCTCCCCATCCTTTGAATACCTACAATATATAATTCTTTAGTCAGTATGTCTTTGCCATGGCCCCAACATTTAACTGGGTATCTTTTCAAACCAATGCAGTTTGTCAAAACAGTGTGTGTGTGTGTGTGTGTGTATGGGGGTGTGTGTGGGTGGGGTATGTGGTGTGTGTGTCAGTGTGTGTGGTGGGGGGTGGTGTGGGGTGTGGGGGTGTGTTGGCAGGGAGTCTCAGAAACAGTTTAAAAGTCCTAAGCCATTTGGAAACCTCAGGGTGGCATGGTATGTAGTAAGGTCTGTGTGACTTACAAATTACTGTCCTCTTAGCCCTCAAGAAGGTTCTCAGACAGAAACAGGACACACAACTGCCTTAGGAAAAGGCTTACCGTTCTTTTTCTCAGAAAGGGTTAATGCTGCTTTTGCTATTGTGGCATTCCAGAGCTCCTCTGCAATTCCATATGATCACATGTTGAGAAGGAATTTCCTGGTCGTAAATATGGAAGCCTAGACCAGAGGTTTTTCACAGCAATTCTCATTTGAAGTTCAGAAATACATGATTTTACATAGTCACTCTATTGCCTACCAAAAGACATGTTGACATACATAGAAAACTTTAGCATATTAGGAATTCACTGCCAAATGACATTTCATTGATTTGAAGACTTTTAAGAGCTTAGAGACATTATAACAAAGAAACCTTGTATTTAACTTTTTTGACTTGTATGGAAATTTGACAGTGATTAAAGACAGGATGTTAAGAAATATGTAAAAAAGATATGTGACACATATTTTAACCCTGAAATGAAAACAGTGTGCTTCGCTGTGATTTTTAAAGTGTAGTATTGATGTGGTGTGTGCAGATCCCAGAGCCTCGGGAAGGGCATCCAATAGCCTGCTGTTTGGCATATTGAACTTTGCTGCTATTAGTGTGACAGATGATAGCAATGTTTCCCAGTCACCACAGTACCATTGTAAAAGCATTTCTTATTGGATAGAGTGCTCAGAATATTGCACCCCGGAGCTTTATTTAGGGAAATGGTTCAATTGATGCTTTCTGTTTAACCCAGTGTTGACCTATCACAACATCATGTTAATAAGCAGTGTTACCATTTAAAAGGCTGGTTTTATACAGTCCTGCAGTCCTATTTAGTCATGGCTCTAACAGTCACTTCTACATAACTTATGAGACAGAGCGTCCTACGTTTTTGCACATCATGCTGTCATATGATAGTCCCCATCAGCTCGTGGCATTGTTTCATCTTATTCTCAGGACAACTGTGGTTTGCTGACTGCCCCCATTGTGCGTTTAAGCCAGTAGCTATTCTGTGTAGTGTAAGCTGCCTCGGTTTTCATTTTCCTGAATGAAAGGTGATCTTTTCCATACCAGCATTTTTACACAGACAAGCTTTTAATCCACAAATAGTAGACTTCTTGGAAGGTTAACTTTGATTTCATGAAGGTCCGGTTAGACACTGATAGTGAATACTTGCAACAATATGACATCCGCTGAGTGATAGCGATGTCAGAGAATAAATAACTGACTTGTACGTATGAGGTAGGACCTGTTTGTACACTGGTCACTGTTTCTTATGATAAGTGATCAATATTTCATTTTCTCTGAGAGAAGAAAGCTCTGTTTGGCTATCATTTGTGTCTACAGGCTCATCATGGCAAACCAAGGCTGAGCAGATGTTAACTTTGTCATAGACATTCCCTCACAGGATGAAAACCCAGCCTTTCCATTGCTCAGCTGCGTGTCCAGTGCAGTTGCAGGCAGCCAGCACTGATCTCCAGTCCCAGGGATCATGAGAACCTACGCTTAGGCTTAGTGTGGAAGTCATCAACACAAGTGTTCAAGGCATAGCGGGACCTCTGCTGATGTGGACCAAAAGATTGATTGGCTCTGATTTTTAATGACTGCTTATTCCTGTAAACTGGATATTTATTAGTAGCATCCTTCCCTCTATGTGGTTACGTTTTCTCACATCAGTAAGTTCTGTGTTTAAATATTATCTCAAGATACAATTGTCTTTTCCTTGTAAAGAGTCAGCTAGATTAATGACAAATAACAAGTAGAATATTTTAAAATAAAGGAACAATGTGTCCTTAATAACATTGCATTTGGATTTACAGAAGAGCTAATGTATGTGGAGTGCTGTATTTTTTTAATTCATTTTATTGTGTGTGTCTATTGAAGCAAGACTAATTGTGGTGTTTTGTCGATATATTTGTGAGGAGCAAATCATTGTCAGTGACACAAAGCCTTCACTCTGTGACCTTCAAGACCAATGGAGAATAAATACTGCATAG